AGGGTTGTTTGTGTGTGTATGTGTGGGTGTGTTTTGTGTGTGTGTGTATTGCTGTCTGTCTGTCTGTCTGTCTGTCTGTCTGTCTGTCTGTCTGTCTGTCTGTCTGTCTGTCTGTCTGCCTGTCTGTCTGTCTGTCTGTCTGTCTGTCTGTCAGCCTCTTTCTCCCCCGTCCCACACAGTTCTCTCTCTCCTTCACTCATTCAATTGATGGTTTGAGGGCATGACTGGTAGGTCCTCATCTTTTTCCCTCTGGTACTACTGTCTGTCTGAATTGCTCTTACCCTGCACTAAATGACTTTTACTTTTATTGTTTTGATGTGTTTTTCCTTACTCAAACTCAAAGGCAGTGAACGAAGTATCATGTTTCTTTTATTTCTGTCAGTCTGTCTTTCTGTTACCCTGCGCTAAATGACTAAATTGTTTCGATGTGTTTCTCTTTACTGAAAACTAGAAGCTTTGAACAAAGTATCACATTTATTTATTTGTTTGGTCTATCAGTCTTACTCTTACCCTGTACTAAATGACTGTTAATACAGTAGTCTCCGCCTAAGATCCCACCGCTTACGATTCCAGTTCGCTTAAGATCCCGCTGTTTTAAGAAAACAGAATTTTTACTATACAAAAGTCACCCCTAAGATCCCACTCTGATTCACTCTGAAGGTCTACATTCGGCTAAGATCCCGCATTTCAGATCATAATTTGCGGAACAAAAACCCGGGCGGGCACAAGAGTGAAAAGTTGAGATCAATAAACTGTCCGTCGCGTCAAAGATCAGCCAATATCGTGAATGTGATCACGTACACATTGTGAAACTCTATGAAGCGATGCAATGTTTGCCCCAGACGGGATCACACCAAGGTGTGAACTGACCGACACGTTTGTTTTCTCCACGCATCGCACTCACACCTGAGCTCTCCCCCTAATCATACGTCACTCGCTGGGTGGGCAGGGCCTACACGTTCGCTGCAGGCGGGATCACATCGAACTGTGAACTATTCCTTGACCATTGCTGCAGTCTCTACTCCCGAATTTGCGAGACAGACTGAATTTTAATTGGTTGGTTCAGAACGTAATTGTGTGTAACGACAAAGGTGATTTTTTTTTTGGGAGGGGGGGGGGGGGGAACTCGGTCAGAGATGGGAAGCTATAAATTTTCGACAGGTAAAGGGGAGGGGCTACTGGATAAGCGTAAATCTTGAGACTCATGATACTAATGATAGGATAATACTATACGTGAAAATAGCACGCCTCATGCCACTATGCACTGTGATAGGTCATCAAGGTTAACCACTCTTTGCTCGCCATATGCCATAAACCCACCAAGGTGTCACGTCAGTTCATTTTAGAGTGGAGAGAGACCATTTTACCGATTGTGAGCCTTAACATGGGTCACCATAGATTTTTCCCTGGGTTTGTCGGTTAAGATCCCGGTTTGCCTAAGATCCCGCATTTCCTTTCTCCGGAGCACCGGGATCTTAGGCGGAGACTACTGTATTATTGTTTCTATGTGCTTCTCTTTCCTCAAAACCAAAAGCTGGGAATGTCGTATCATGAGTTGGTCCTAAGACTAAGACTTATGGTGACTGTTTCTCTCTCTCTCTTCCCCAGGTCGATGACATGGACATGAGTGTGTCCGGCGGTGACTTCCGACGTGGGGTTGCACCGTCTGAGGGCCAGTCGGACTATTATGATGTCATCATGGACAACGACACTGACGCTCACCTCAGGTAAGAATTGTTGGTCGGTGGTAATTGCCAGGTCCTACTTTTGAAAAAAACTAACTTTTCTTCAATTAATAATGGTAGTTACTGCCATAGATTTTAAAAAAAACGTTAGTAAAATGGGTTTTTTTTCCATTTCTAAATATTTGAAATGTTTCAAAAAATTATATCAGCTGTATGCCTGTTATTGTGTTTTTATTTAAGTTGGGGCTAGAGCTGTGCAAGTTATAAGATAAAAAAAAAAGACAAGATACATCTTTATTATCCAGATCCTGACACATTGGCTTGATGTTTCACCACGTAAACACACACACGCGCGCACACACACACACACACACACACACACACACACACACACACACACACACACTCTCACGAACATGCACACACACGCATACACACGTACATGTGCACACACGCATACACACGCACATGTGCACACCCATACACACACACACACTCTTCCCTCACACATCCTCTCTTCAATTCCAAGAGAAGTAATCTTTTAAATGTTTTCCTGAATTTTTTTTCCATGGTGCACACAAATACTATTAACTGATTCCGTCCATGATTTTTTCAGGCTCTGGACAGAATTATTTTTCCCTGTTCAGCTTTAGACCTGGGGTGCATCTATTTAATGCATTACTGTGAAGCTCTAACTTACTCTAATATATGCATTGTCATATACCAAACTGATGGGAATAAATAGAAGAATCTGTTTCTATCAATAACAATGACCTGTAATCTGTTTATATTGCATTTTCCTTCTGACAAAAATGAATGAGAAAAAAAATTTGTGCAACAGCTCTTCGAAAATTTCGACTTACCGCTTTTTTTCAGCTCTACAAGTCCTTATAATCCATAGGAATCAACACAACATTGTAGCGATATCACCCTAGCACACATTTATGCAAGAATTTCACAAATTTAGTTGAATATCTTTCTTTGAAAGGCCTTTTTATTATACCAGGCTCCGTGTTGTTTACCCTTAGATCTAGCCTACATCGCAACAACAAAACAACGAGTTTTGCAAGAATTTCGCGGAGTTTCGATCGATATTGGCGCTCAGAGATTGAGGTCAGGTTTGTTTACAAGTTCTACTTCCTTTTGACAACATAAAAAGTAGGAACTATGTTAAAAAGTGCACCTTTGTTTCGGATTTCGTTGAGCCGCTCACAGCGGCCGAATGGACGCAGCGGAAAAACTCAGAGCCGCTGTCAGCAGCTGAATGGACGGAATCAGTTAATCTGATTATAGTAGTTGTAGAGTTGTAGAGTTTTATTCCTCCATCGACACAATATAGAGGATAAAGGAGATGGCCCACTTTGACCCTGCCTGTCAGGGATAAGACAGATACAATGTCCCAGCAATCAGACTGAGGATGCTCAATGAAATACCTCCCCACACTAAACTAGAATTCATGTCTTTGTGCATTCAATGACAAAGTGCCTAACTGTTCCACCACAGATGCTGCCTGTAAATCTAATATCTACTTTTGTTTCTATGGTCCTTGTCTTTCCTTGGAGCAGGTCGCTGGACAGAGAAGAGTTTGGTCACGGAGACTACCGATCCTCGGTGGACATTGCGGAGATAGAGCGTATCGCTGACGCCGCTTCGGTTGGCAGTGGCAGTGTGCTCAGTGTCATCGACTGGGATGCCATAGACGATATCATTAGAGATGCATGAACAAAGGTAGGCAGTAGCATGATTTTGGCCTTTGCAAAGGATTTTAAAAAGGTTTTTGTCTTGACTCTGAGAATTGAATTTGTCTTGGTATAATTTATGTGAAACCTATCAGTATATTTCTGTATAAGTATAAATATTTGAAGGCTTGGTGGATTTTTTCCTCAGAAACTGTAAACATACGTTGACTTAAAATAATAGTCAAATTTGTTAAATAAAGGTCACCTGTATGTCATCCTTCTGTAAATGAAATGAATGTGACTCAATACATTTGCATAAACTTGTGCTGTAGCTCCTATTACAAGTTGCACTCAGTGAACTTTGCATAGGTCTACTTGTCCTAGCAAGTATGGTACCATTCTAAGTCTGTATTGGCAGGATGGATGCTGGTACCAGTCCATCAATCACATCTGTTTCTCAAATTAATTATTTTTCTTTTAAAGCAAAATAAAGATGAATGAAGTTGCCCCAAACATGACATCTACTTATTTTGGTACCTTTTTGAATGTATGTTTTTAAAAAATGTAAAAAAAAAAATTTATGTCCTCAGATCAGCATGTACAGTCGTCTTGTTGCTGAAGATGGAGAAAGCACTTTTTAATCAAGTTCCTGACGGTTGGAGTAAATGGAAATGCATCAACCTTTTGACAATCATTTAGAGCAATGAAAGAATAAGACTTACACTTAGAGACAGAAACAAAAGAGGAAAGAAAACAAGGAGAACCCATCAGTGGTGCCGTCCAACTGTCTGCTTATGAATAAAGTTCTCTAGTGAGCAGTCTTGTGTATTGTGTTGTATTAAAGTGCTTGAAACCTTAAGTGATTGTGAAAGGATGTGAATTTTTTAAAAAGAGAAGTTTTATTTCTATTCTTTTTTTAAACCACATTCCATGTTTTTTTTTCTTGTGTTTTTGTTTGAATGGAAGTTCTGTTCAATGCTCAGTTGCTACTTGAGTTCACATGTTATTGTCATCATGATAGATCAGATTTATTTTATCATTAGATTTAAAGATTTGTATTTTCCCTTGTAATATTAGCAATAGTGTACCTTTAGCCTCTCTGTTTAGACAGTAGCTGATCGAAGTGTTGGCTTTTAACAGCATTGTGATGAATATGTTGAAGGTATGAGCAGTGATACTTGGATATCCTTCTTTCTGTGTTTGATCAGCACCTGATTTATACAGGTTCAGTTAATGTACATATCAACCACTCAGTGGAAGACTCCATCATTCTTTACTTTCCAAAAATGGCGTATTGTGGAATCTAACAGTTACACTAAGCAATTGGTATGTTATTTTTTCTTTTTCTGTCATTGAAGCTTATTATTACATGAAGTTCCTCAGTGATAAATGTTTATCGTGTAAAGGCTTACATGACGGTTTTAGAAGAAAAAGTTAACAAATTAGTTTTTTATGTGATGTGATGTCGGCCAATGGCGTTAGACACTGAATAAACTTACTTACTTACTTACAGGTAAAAGTGGACATTGGTTTTATCAGTTATAATGAGTTTCCTTATTGAGCTTTTTCCCATGTTATCAAGTTGACGTATTATCCTATGTGTAAGGTAGACTATACACTGCCTGTTTGCTCTGTTGAATGCCATTCATATATTTCATTATCAAATTCAGGGCCAAAATTTACCTTGTTATGTCTTCAGCTTCTTTGATTAGAGATTTTGAAAGACCTTTTTAATTTATTTATTGCTCCTGTACATGACATGTGTGTAATTTTGTATCATAGAAACAATTCAGGTTTGATCCGTCCGTATGTTATTGTTATTTTATAATACATGATATTTTTTATTCATACATATTCTATTTTGAAAAACAATTTTAGGTTGATATATATGTGTTTGTATCATTCTGAAGGTTTTCAATGATTCTTTCAGTTTGCTAATTACAGTACATGTATATGAAAGTAAACAAGTTGTTTGTTTTTTTTCCTCTTGCATACCTTTTTGTAGTTATGAATCCTGTTGAGGCTACACCAATAAAAGCTTTCATTCAGATCTTCTGTCTTTTGCGGTTTTTCTTTGAAGCTAGAAAAAGGACAAGGATTTCTTCAGCAAATTAAAAAACAAAAACAAATGAGAATTTGTTCCTATCCAGTTTAACAACAGCTGGATCTGCAGTGAGTAAGGAAATATAATATGAAATAAAATGGTGACTTGATGTCGAAAATTGTCAATGCTCAGAAAAACAAAACGTCTGATGGTTGAACTAACGTTTTCCAGTCTCGTTCTGTGTCAGGCTGGACTGTGGTGGGATTGACCCTGAGGCATGCTTTTGCTTGGATTGTTTAAGGAGTTTTCATGTTTCTTACCTCAACTAGGCCTATGCCCCCCCCCCCATCCCCAGGGCAGAGCCACAGACTGTAGTGTCTTTAGGCCATTCTCAAAGGGGAGATATTAACATGTTCTTTTGCACAGTAGAAATGTATATGGGCGGATTTATCGATGTCATGCTCATACTGTGCCGGAACAACTTAGGGGGAACTGCTGCCTGTTGTTTCCTCATCTTTACTATCGTCGTTTTTCCTCTACTTCTTTTGTATGTTTGTCTCACTCTTGTGAACTGCTATTTCCGGGGTGCCTTTACGAGGGGGGTTCAAGAAGTCTTTGGTCTAAATATGAAGGAATAAAGATAGAGCTTTGTAACTTGGCACACTTACTTTATTTCTCTACATAGTCACCATGCAGAGTATCACATTTCTGCCACCCCCCTTTGATTTTCAAAAGTCCTTGAGAGAAAAAAGACCCCTAATGGGCCCCTAACCATTCTTCAACAGCTTCAATTGCGTTCTCGTTGTCGCGAAAACGAAGTCCTTTGAGTGTTTATTTTTTTAGATTAGGAAAAAGAAAAAAGTTTGAGGGGGCAATAAGGGTCTGGTGAATAAGCCAGGTGTGGTAGAATTTCAAAGCCGCACTGTTCTGCTGTCTGTCTGCTTGTTGTGCCTAGTGCGCAGGGGGGCGTTGTCATGCAGTAGGAGGATCCCATTACGAAGTTTACACGCTATTTTCTCACCTATTCCGACCACAGTTTTAGCAACAAACGCGAGTAGTAGTCTCCTGTGACTATTTTTCCATTTTCCAAGTAGTCAGTCATGATGATACCTCCACAATCCTAGAAACACGACAGCATGACCTTTCCACTTGACGGTGTTACCTTTGCCTTCTTTGGTGAGGGAGAAGAAAAAGGGGTTTCCATTGCATGCAGGACATTTTGTTCTGAATCAAAATGATAAATCCGTGTTTCATTCATAGTCACCATGTTTTTAAAGAAATTTGTGTCATTGGACTCAATTCGAAGGAGAGTTTTGCAGGACTCAACCCTCTGCTTGTTTTGCTCACTTGTCAAAAGGCGGGGTACCCACTGCGCAGGCACCTTATTCATGTCAAGATGGTCATGGAGAATCGTTTCAATTGACTCGACACTGATTCTCGTTTCACTTGAGAGCTGTTTAATTGTTATACGTCGGTCTTGTAGAACCAGTATCTCAACTATGGATACATTCTCTTCAGTTACCACACAGGATGGGTGCCCTTCACGATCTTCATCTATCGCCGACATGCCGCCAGATTTGGATTTTCTTACCCAGTATGCCACAGTATAATAACGGGGACATTGGTCACCCAAAACTGGGACTGTTTCCTAAAAAATGCCCAGAGGGGATTTCCCTTGCAAGTGTAAAAACGTGACAACTGAGCGATATTCAACAGGCTCCATGACACAACTTCAGAAAAAAAAAACCCTAACGTTTTTGTGTATGGGTTCATTGTACACGCTGACTAGTGCCGTAAAATTGTCGGATTTTCTCCAAAATTTGCATGGTGTGTTCTACAGAAATTGTCTAAAGGCTGGCGAAATTTCATTACTCTACCATGATTCCTTCATACCAAAGACTTATTGAACCCCCTCGTATAGTCGAAGCGGACTTTGTGCTGTTGAGGCTAGAGAGGTGGACAGAGTAAGTTTGATTACCCGTTTGGACTTCTCTGTTGACATCCTCCCCTTGACGCTCATACGACCTTATGCAGTTGCGAGCACAGTAAAACCTTACTAAAACTAAAACTAAATACATCAACTATGATCTACTCTGTATGTCACCAGCGTCTGCGATGAAACAGTTAGGCGTTTGGCTGTTGCATGCAGGAGACTCAAGTTCGATTCCAGAGTGGGGAGAAATTTTATCGAGTATTTCTGCTGGGATGTTGTATCCCGCTCATCCCAGGTTGACCCTGACAGGTAGCGTCGGAAGCCCGCTTCCTAAATCTGTCCCCGTGGTTTTATGCACCCAGCATAATTTAGCAAAATTTGATCATTTTTTGCGTAATTTCTGATTATTTTCCTTTATCATTTTTTGTTAAAATTAACAGAATCGCATAATTTCACATTGTTTGGCCCAGTTTGCATAATTTCAGAATTTTTCTTGCATAAAACGGCGGGGACAGAGCTAAATGATGTAAATTGTGTCAATGGGGCCGTAGAAACACATATATACATTATAATATTACCGTGTATATGTGTCCATTCACTTGATGGGGCCCCTGTAGAGATATGATAAGCAGACGGAGGCATAACCTGACTCGGACGTTGACTGGCATGCAACATTTTTTCAACATTACTTTATACACAACATCACATCAATACGGGCAATCAAAATCAAATACCTTTGTCTAGTGACCATCACAGTTCAGCCCCCTGTTTTTTTTGTGTTTTTTTTTGGGGGGGGGGGGGTTGTCTATCTTTTTTAAACCTAAGGGTTATCGTGTCTTGCTCGAAAATACACCCAATGACTCCCCACCTACCCATAGGGCTGTTGGAGGCCATTCAGCACTCGGGTCGCCGTGTATGGTCGCTTTTAAGGACAAGCAGGCTAACCCAGATTTCGGGGGTTTCCAGAAATCTTGACCTACCCCAAAAGTGGACATTGCCCTACCTATATGAGAAGTTTGGTTTCGTTGGTGCGTATATTTGTTTGCTTATAGAGAAAACTCTCCTT